AAGTTAAAAAACTCTTTGAATAACTTTTTCCTCTCTACACCTCGCCCCTCCACAACACGTCCGCACGACTGTGGAGAATGAAACTTTTAGTTAAAACAGTTCCTCTTTTTCATTACAATATGCAATGAGATCAAAAACGATTTATATGGTGGAGTTCAACAAAGTTTCTCAGAAAAATATAGGAAAATGTAAACGTATGATTCAATGGTGTGAGTTTGTAAAGCCGATTAAATTTGACGTTGGTGTAAATCAACTGTATGTAAATGGAATGGTATTATGGAATGGATTTCAATGTATCCATGTGAATCAGGTTATGTTAAAAACAGATATTACTGGTAACAATAAAATAAGGAGATATTTTAAAACTAAAAGGTATATAATTCGATAATTTTAATGTCCTTTTCGATCACCAAAATGTTGTTCGAATATAAATATTATCCAATATTCAATACTATTTTCTTAAAAATGTATTTAAACTTATCAATTCCACATTATAAATCTACTAAAAAGATAAAATTCCAAGCGGAAAATCTCCATTTTATTGCTTCCAAAGGTTTCACTATACAATCTGACAAAGTAATTCGGATTGACTTACGTGATCCACAAACGACATCTAGTCAATTTACGACTACCATAAAACTCTTAAATTAAGTTTTTATTCCAGCTGAAAATCGAAAAGAAATAAACATTTAAATAACGGGAACTCTGGTAGTTGTGAATTTTTTAGAAGTATACTGATTTATATTCAAATATACACAATTGTTAATGGAAGTTTATTGTGTTACATATAGGTATGTGAACAATGTTTGAATGCAATAAAGAGATTATATTGTGAATATTAATTCAATAAAATTGTATATATGTTTGCAAGTAAATAAAGTAAAAAGTACCTAAAATTATGCATTTTATTAAAAATTCTAACAAATTCTGAAATATTTAAACAACAAAGTAATTTTTTATTCTCTTATTTACTCGTATTCGTAATTCGTACAAAATATACTTACAATTTATATTATAATGACGAAAAAAAGATAACTTATATTATATGAAAAAAAATTTATCAAAAATATTTTTTGCATTTAACTCGTATATAAGAAATTATAAATCGGGATTGAAGCAGCTTAGTGAGTTCATAATAAACCCTACCCTATTAAGGCTTGGAAATCTGAGCCCAACTACAGGAGTTGGTAATAAACGGTTTTTATATTGGAAAACATTTTCGATAACAACTCAAAGTTGCAATAACTTTAGTCTTCAAACACGAGATGAGAGGTTTATTAAGTAAATGGCTAGATTCAGCGATTTCTCAATATTAGTATATGATATACAACTTGCTGTCTGTAAACAAAATTCATAGTAGATTAAACCGATAAAGTTGTTGAAGAATATTTTTAAATCAAACAATAATAACATAAAGATAAGGTTTATACGTATCATTAAATAATTCTATTGTGTTTTATTTTTATGATAACACAATATTGGTTTTCTAATGGGATATGCTTTCAGTATTTTTGATACGATGTAACGACGGTTGGTTGTGTACGAAACGAAATGTGATTAACAGTTAGCGTCTATTGTTTTGGATCACAGCCAAGTATTGACGATGAAGTATAATGTAATCAAAATATATTCATTTATTTTTCTCTTATATTATTATTTATATACATATCCAATAATTATCGCAATTTGTTTTATATACTACAGTAATTAAAGTACTTTTAATTCAGATCCTCTAATTTATAATATATATAACTAACGCAGAAACTAATCCTCAGCGAACAAATGCCATTATTCGGACATAATATGAAAGAATTTTTTTTATCAGTATCGCGTTATACTATAGCAAATTGTAATACTTCCTTAATAAAATATATCACATCATTAATTCATCAGACTCCACATAGTAAAGGTAGGTTACTAGAAAAGAAAAGTAGCAAGGAATAAAATATAATCACGTTAATTTCAATATAGTATTAATAAGAATTATATTAAGACGAGAATTGATTGTACCTACACCACATTTCTTTTCTCATTTCCTCTATCAAAAGTGTATCTGGTAGAGATATCTTTAAGGAGATATGATCCTTTGTGCATCACATTTATTCTATAATAATGTAACTGTTTCTAGATTTGGTACATAAATAAATAAATAAATAAATCGAATACATTGAAACTGAGTGATTCAAGTATTTAAAATTATTATAAACGTTCTTTCAGTGTTCATATTCAAGTCTTAATTGTATTTGAAATTTTAAGGATGTTGACATGGAAACAAAAAGTAATGAAAATATAAAGGTAACATGAATATTTCCTTACTTAGCAAGTTTTGTTCCTTAACACTTTTAAATTAAGCGTGATAGAGATTTTTTAGTACAAGATTAAAAAAAAAATTTGATTACAAATTACATATTTTACTTTCAGTTTCTTCAAAATGGTTGACGAATAACAGTTTCAAAAATCATTCAAGTAACACATAACAGTAACACAATTAAAATAGAATTTCCGAATATGTTCTAAGGACTCTTCCTTTATTTACATGACTTCTATATGTTTCAGTGAAAAAGATTATTGTAAAGTAACCAAAACATTTAAACTAGTAGTAAATACACAAATTAAAAACGTGCTACATATCTAAAATACAGTTTTAAAGCTAAATAGTTTGTTAAACTATATTTAGTTTGTTAGTGTCATACCAGAATGTGTGTTTTTGTTTTATTACAATCTTTCCTGACAAACTGACAAATGAAAAGTCAATTTCTGTGATCACAAATTTAAATGTATATCTTTATACATACAATGCTTGATATTTAATTGTGACATTAATATAGTGGATAAAATTGGTTCATTTAATAAAATTTCCTTTTCTTCACTCAGTATTTTGCTTTAATTGATAATCGATACACATGACCCGAGACTTTATTACTTAAATAATGATAAACATTGAATATTAACGACACACGGTTAGCCGGTGAGAGCCATTGTTCCTATACTGAACTTTGTAGCCCAGCCAAGTGACTCAAACATTATTTCAGCGCTACATGCGGCTGTAATGCAACATGTTATGATAGGCTGATAACAAAATATCAAGTGCTCTCATAAACATTTCGTTTTTAATACTACAATATAATTTTAAAAGAGTTTATTTTTTGTTATTAAGTGTACATAATATGTAGTTATAAGGTATGTTGCATTGGTGTAAAATTATATTATTTGAGTTATCATGATATAACGATATCTAAAAACATATTTAACTTTTGTCTAAACCTCAGTGTTAAGAATAAATAAAGTATATAAAAAAATGTTGGCAAGTATAATAATTTCTATAAATTTAAAGAATAATATTGATCTTTATAAAAATTTGTAAACACTGATGAACCATGTGGTACGAGTATTGATCATCAGCCAAAAGACGTCCACTGCAGGACATAGGCCTCCCCCAAGGATCTCCACGACGACCGGTCTTGTGCCACCCGCATCCAGCGGATTCCCGCGACCTTCACCAGGTTGTCGGTCCACCTTGTTGGGGGCCTACCCACACTGCGTCTTCCAGCTCGTGGTCGCCACTCAAGAACCCGTATACTCGAGTATAGAGGGAAGTATATTTAGCTGTTTATTTCTTTTATGTTGGCAGCCTCTTTTAAACTTGAAGACCCTTCTTATTTTTATTAAAGGTCTGATTATGTTTTAAGAGGAAAATTACCATATCAGGCAAAAGTTTTAAATCTAAAAAAAATTAAAGACATCATGATTTTATACAACCATGCCATTTTTTTACATATTCATATATCATGTATAAATTGCTTATTTTGATATACACTGATGTCACAACTTTATTTATTTATTTCTCTGACACGAGTATTATGGTTAAAGAGTTCAAAAACTCCTTTCATTTTAAAGTAAATAATCTTTGTAACAACATTATGATTATGTATTGGTTATTTGAAAATAATTTTACATAAATTTAAATAAACAATTGATATAAGTATCAATAAATTGATTTCGAATTAAGCTATGCGAAATGTCGTTTTGTATTTACATTGAGAAATAACGAGTTGTGTCAATATTCAATGAACTCAAAAACTTCTTTTTATTGGTTTACAGCTGAACAAAAATGCTCGGAATAATAGAGGAAAATGATAAAGTAATATACAAAAGCGGGAGTTTTATAAGCCAACTTGACACCTGTGTAACTCTATTGTATTCGAAAACAGATCATGGATTGGATCATATGTAAATGGTGTTATGTGAATCAGTGTGTGATGATACACAAATTTTATGAGCAGAAGTTAAAACTAAAATATGTATGTTATAAATGTCATTTGATTATTATAATACTCCCTTCATCGCCTTCATAATTTTATAGCTTGAAATATAAATATAATTCAAGTGAGCATATGTTCTTTACCAATAAGTTGAATCAAATTAATGAAATAAAATGGTTATTTAACAACAGTATGTTGTATCAAAGAGTATTCTGTTTAATGCACGATCACTAAAGAATAATTTAACTATAATTGAATTACTTTTTTTTATTAAAAAGATTGACTTCGTAAAAAGAGCAGGAACCTACTGAATAAAGAGAACAAAAATAATGTTACTTATAAATACTATTTCCTTACCTAACTAATACTAAAATCTGAATATCTGCACAAAAATCGATTAAACACCTAATTAAGATAAGCGGATTCTACTATTATATAATTTCCAATAATTTAATTTAATATTTAATTAAATATATGTATGATTTTGAAGACGTGCCTTCTATAGATAACAATGTAAAAAATACAATCTTAAACTCAGTAGTAAGTATTAATATTCAAACCTATATAATTTCTTTACGTCTTTTTGTTCTAAGTTCTATTAAAGAAAATGGTTTTTATTAATTTTTCTTTTATTTTCTACTAAATATTTAAAAAGGAATACATATAAATACAGCCACAAGTCATACTGACATTTAATTAATATTCAAATATCCAAATGTATGTTTCCATGTGTACACAATGTGCATGGAAACAAAAGGAAAAACCTCAACTAATTCTGTATCTAGATTCCGAGTCGTAAATCTTTTGAAATCGGTCCCCATCCAGCACTCGGGACACACCGTAAAGTGAGTTCGTGATATATCTGTGACGACGTACCGGTGGCGACTTACCTGATACTTTAAATGAGATTTGTAAATTATAAGGTATTCTTCTTGAAATAAATACATATTTCACAGTACAGTTCCTACATGAAAATTATAAGATATATTAATTTCATTATACCAGCAATTAGAATATATAAGATACCTATAATATTTATATGTTTGTACTTTTGGTAACATGCAGATGAAATACAAGGTGTGCATTCAAGATACATAGTTTATATTCAGAAATTCTATTGCGTTATTCAAATTCAGCATTTTTTGTTATAAAAGAACATTGATTTGGAATTAATTGGTGCACAAAAAGATGAAATCTTTTATCTTTCAATATTATTTACAATGTATAACATACTTTAATAATTAAACTTCAGCTAAAATTAATCAATGTCTGTTTAAGTACATAACTGTCATCAATGTGTAAAAAAGTATATAAAATTTTTAATACGTCATTTGTTTCATTAATACATGTCCTCATTACCTTTAACTATCCGCGAACGCTATGTTAAATTCCACATTATTTACAACTAAAAAATCCTAACTCATATGAGACTCAAGTGTTTAAATCCAAATTCAAGTACATGAAAATACTTTTATCCAAATTTCCAGGAATTTACATGTTTCTGATTTTGATAGATTTCAGTACTCATAGTAGTTTTGTTGTGTTAATTTTATAATCATTGCATACTGAGCCGGTTGACCTTTCCCTTTTCCTGCCCTTCCCTAACCACCACCACCACCACCTCTCCCACAGTAAAGGTCTGCAACGCATCTGAAACATTTGAAATGTTGCAGAAATCCATGGGAGACGGTAACTATCTTTCATTCTTTTTACATCGACCCTTGAATAGCTTGATGCGCAGACAAAAATAGATTTACGCAATTTATAAATGATAAAATCGTATAAATAAAAAAAAATCTTACAAGTATATTAGTCAAAGTTCCAAGTTACAAAATTAAAATATTAAAAATTTGTTACTACGTAATAATTTTTGAATAACAACTGATCTTAAAACTATTTTAATATCGTTGTAAAAAGTATATTGACTATATTTTTTGTTTATAAAGAGGAACATATTAATCTTAACAGATTAAAATTTGTGCTGTTAGTTTGTGGTTAACGTATGCGACTTAAAGCGGCTTAGGAATTTATAGTTGCGGTCTTCTATGTACGCCTTGTATAATATTAAATTTTTAACATCGTATGATGTATTTTTTTCGATATATTAGAAAAAATAGTATGTAAAATTTATTTTAACCAAGTATAGTTTTAAAGTTCTGGTGTGTTTATTATTTCACTGGTACTTTTCGCTTTTTATATTAAATAATCAAAACGCATTACCAATGTTTGAAAAATGTAAGATCAAACATTTATTTTATCGTAATATACCTATTCATAAACTCTATTGTGAAGTGATTTGAAATTGCAAATATTTATCATTACATTTAAATGATGTAATATTGAAATTATTATATTGTATAGTATAACAAACTCAGGATAACCTTAAAATCGCTTTCAGTATATCGTCAGTTCAGCGAGCAACTACTGTGTTTATTGTATATAACTTTGCTTCGATGAACTGAGGCTTGTTTTAATATTAGTTACAAGTCTGCGGCAGATATTGTTCGTATCTAAAACTTATGTTTTGCAAATTGAAATATTCCTTCTCGTAATCTACACTATTTATATGTTTCATATGTTACCATGTTCTTAGGTACTTTATTTTCATTGTTTGATATTAAAGAAAACCTCATCCGTCGAAACTTCAAATATTTAAGAACATAACAGTAATTAAAAAGTTACCATCAGTTTTAAGAAATGAAGAAATTCAAAACCAATGGTCTAATTAAATTCATATATAGCTAATAGTTCATGTTATGTGGTAATAGTCATTTTTGAAATAGGTCACTGATGGAAGTCAAACATCCTTGTATTTAAGTATTTAAACGGCAAACCTCACAAGTAACAATTGCCAGTGTGGCTAGGTACAACAGATGTAAGGTTTTTTATTGGGGGAAACTCCATTGAGTCTTCACTCCCTGAGGGGCAGGGAGCGGTGTGTGGGACTCGAATCCATCAAAACTCCTCGGCGTACGTTATCATCTATGTGACGGGGTTGTGAGTTACATCAAGCACGAGCTACCACCTCACCGTCGACGGAACGCCTGCTCTACCCCTACGTGGGCATGTGGTGGTGGATGGGGAAACAGGAGCAGGCAAATATGCAACCGTGATCCGACCAATTTGTGAGGCCAAGTGCATGCCAATACGGGTGTCCCCACATCTAGAGACGGCTAGCTGCAAGCAGAGAGGTAACGAGGTGAAGTTAGTTTCACGTCACACGTATCCTTCTTCACCTGAGGATTAACGGAGTGACAGGATCGTTCTCCAGTTCTTACTCTGCCTTTTCCTTCTATGTAATGACGTATTTGCAGAAGAAGTAAATACCTAAAATTTTCTAACTAGGCCTCCTCACTTCCGAACATCGCGTCTTCGATTTTAGCAAAACTCTTATTGTAATCAAATATAAAATATCTTATACAAATCTTATTAATTCACCTTCTTGATCGTGATACCATCTATTATTTAGGTTCCATGCAACCTTATATAGATATTTCAGAGAAATAAATAATATTACATATTTACCTAAACTTAAGAAACCAATTCGACTTCAATATTTCTACTTATACATATACCACTTGTGTCACACTAAAAGAAATAAATTATTTAACCTGATTTCTGTATGTACATTTCCTCCAATATTTTTTGCCGTAGGAAAAGATGAGAAATTCATGAGAAGATAAAATATCAGATAAAACTATAATAAACATTTATTTTACTCATTTACTTTTTGTTCACCAGCATAATTTATCAAGAAATTCTTAAAATCAAATTGAAATATCAGACATACAGACCATCTTTTAGCTTACTATGATATCTTACAATAATATAATTCAGGAAAGTCTTACTAGCTATTTTAGGTACTCTATTGTAAATAATATATTAAATTACATAAGACTTAGCTTTTTCCTAAGTATTGTTAACAAGTTGCAGTCTTTGATAAAACATATAAAAAATAAATGAAGAATTTAAATTCTTTGCTAAGTAGCTGCAACTTTATAAACATTAAGAAATGAAGTTAAAATACTTTTATAAACAGACAAGAAGAATAGTTGAGTTATAACACTATAGGTAATATGTTTTTGAGACACGTTTCAGTCAATTTCTACAATCATACTACGCCTGCTAAAGATTTAACTTGTGATTTAATACAATTAACTTTTTGATCTCATTCAGGTCCTTATTGTACGAATGTTATATAATTCAAAGATCAATGTATTTTCAATATAACATACTATTTTTATGATAGTTACTATTTATTAAACATTAAAGATACTTTCTCCGTGAAATCAAATCAGTATTATTAAGATTCATTTTGTACTATACAAAATCGTTTAGAAAGTTGACAGAAGTACAAAAAATATGTATAAGTCAAAGTAAAACCATAAATTCATATTTAGTAAAATCAGAACGAGAAACCAGGCAGTAACAACTCACAATATAGTAATTAATATTACAACTAGCATAATTGATGAACTAGAAGTTATATGTTTCTCTATAATCACAGGAATTGCTTTTCCAAGTTCGTAGGTGAGAAATAGGTTTAAAGGTAGCTGCAGTCTCGTTTTCATTAATTTAAATAATTGTTAACTAATTTGTTTCAGAAAATGAATTCAACAGCCAATATAATTTATTATACTTTGATGCCTTGACTTTGGCAATTAACGTATTTAAATTTAGATGCCTTGGATAATATTTAATTAATTTTTAAGACGAAAGAGTTAAAGCTGTTTTACATGAAATCATTGCGGGCCATTTAATGTAATTAGAATTTTAGTAACTTTTACAATTCTGATCAAGTATTATTTGAGAAATTAAATGTTTTAAGATGTTTTGTCCCAGATCCGTTAATTTGTTTTTTGTATTAATGTTAAGTTAGTTTGATATTATTTAAATTATTTTATTGATAACCCGATGTATAATTATGTAATCACAATTTATTTCCCCTTTTTTACATGTAGTAATTATTATATATAATGTTCACTCTTTACATAATTTTGTTTTGAGGAAAGAAAAGGATAAGAATTTTATAATTGTTTTTCTAACGCGCCACCTAATAATTACATTTTCTTTAAGTTCAAATATACGATTTAGTTAAAATCTAATAATAAAGTACTCGAAAGAAAGACACTGGTAATCTCTTTATCTGTACAACAAGAGTCACTTGAAGTTTCGACGAAATTCGGGGATGTTGTCTTATTTGTCCTAATGAAATACAGAATTGTTGAAAAATGTTCGTTATACCTTAATTTATTAGGTTTGTACTCGGTCTAGTTAATCAATCTTGCAATAGTTTTATCAATTAAAGGAAACTGAATTGAATGTGCTAATATAATTTCCATTTAAAAAAAATAATTAAATAATATCTCACAATCACACAAGGGAACTGAGATTAATAAAAATTGTATAAGAAACTTGTAAAAAAAAAACAAAATAGATTTACCTTAATAATTGAACAGATTTATTCTAGTAATTATTTTATGATATGCCATCTATACAGAGATATGTCCCTGGAAATATTTTTTTAAAGAAATATTTCGATTACGATACAAAGCTGGAGGTACATAACAGGAAAATAAGCACAGAATAATCTTTGGTTGACAAAACAATAATTCAATTAGAGGACGATTATCACATTTACGAGTATAATAAAAGTCCGTCACCAACGTTATGAATATAAGGATAACAAATATCGGATCATATATTATGGTAGAGTACGGTATGAATTAGTCCGTTAGGGTACGATACAGTACGGTAGGGAACGGACGATAAGGTACGGATAATATAATGTATGTATGTCATAGAATGTTACTTCACTTAAATTTTCTATTATTTAATTGAGAGTGGAACTGCTAGGCATCTATTTCTGTTACTTTTCACTTCAGTCCTTATTGTGAATGAGAATTTAACATTTTTTTCCATTACCGAGTTAACTGATGTAGATTTGCTACTTTATTTTCATTAAAGTGTTTTAAGTGTAACCTTAACTAATATAGAATTAAATAAAATAATTTAATAGCCTAACGTGAAAACGTTACTTTATTATTAACAGTTATGAGCTAGAAATAATGTCGTATTCGAGAAACAATTGACAGACAAATAAAACATTCCCAAATACCGAGGGCTTTTCGAAATCAATCCATTTTATTTAAATACTATTAAGGACTTAATGGCTTACCTAATTATGACCCGCGGACGTCCTAAGGCATCTGCAATGTAAGAACAGTTGCAGCTGTGTTGCCGATGATTTTAGAGATCTTCTTCTAATAACACCTGTCTCATTGTGTCTCTCCAAAACATAATATCATATTCCGTACGTGCGTTCACCACTATGCACGTAATATTTGCAATAAAATGCATACAGGTGATATGAATAACTTTCAAACATGTGGCGCAAATATTACAGTTGAAAAGTAATGAAACAATATAGTGACCACTATTCTTTATGTTTTGAAATAATTGTTTAAATGAAATAGTCTAACTTATTTCGTCAAAATTGTGTCTTTCAGTTTATATTTTAAAGTTATGTTCTTACTAAATAATTTAATTGCAAGGAATGTACTTTCTTATCATAAAGTACTTCATTATCAACAACTATTTGTAATGTTTTTTTTATCGTGACCTGCCATCATAAATTAAGTTGTTTTGTAAACAACGTCCAATGAGTTCATGACACGAACTTATTATTGTTACATTCTAATTTCCTTTTTAAATACATAATTGCTTTGTTATTATTTCTTTAATTTTTAATGTATTTTAAAATTTTTTTGTACAAAGTAACTGCAGTTACAAGATAAATATATGAGAACGTATGAAAGATGAAACAAACTTGTCAACCAACAACTTACCATAAAAAGATACATGAATAAAGCGTGTTGATAGTTAGCAATAAAAAAGATAATAATTTAATATGAGTTTAAGTATTGGAAAATATATTTTTAAATGAATTATTGTTAAAATTGCTTTTCTTGCTGGTAAAGTAACGAGTCTTGTAGAAAATTTTCGGCTAGTTAATTAATGTTTATAATTTGTTTAGTTACTTTTACTTTTTTGTTTGAAACGAATCAATACATTATACTTTAGATTTATGTATATATAGAATGAACATTATACATCCATTATTCAATGATTCGAACTTGTATTGTTTGATATTAATCTAAGGCTTATCAAAGGCTCTATAAATCAAGGACTTTAAGTATTATTATCAAATTCGTATACCAAATGTAATGGTTTTATCTTATTTAATATAATTATTTGTAATTAAAAGTTAAATATTGTTGTAAAATTTAACTGGCTTGATAACTGAATTATGAAATACTTATTTAATAATTTCTAATTCAGTAAATCGAAATACCTCATTCTTTTAAGTGTGTAAATTATTTTTTCAGACAAAATCAATCCAGCATACAATTTGTCGATTTAGTTATCTTGTTTGATGAGGAATGGGTCTGAATATTTGGGTTTAAATCTATATCTGGTACTTTATGTTAAAACCTTCGTTGCATTAGATACTTGATTATGCAAGATTATGGTGTCCTATGATGGGTTCTCTTTTATCCACATGCGCGTAGTTGGGTGCCAATTAAGTAAGCTACCCCTGGTAGTCTACTCTACCTGTATACAGTCCCTAAGTGAGTCTTTACCACCACTTGGCATCGTGATAAGAGGAACTTATGGATTCAACGATGAAAATTCAGGAGCAGCAGTTTACTGATCAAGTCCCCACTGGCTGTGCTAGGATTGTTGAGCTGTTCAGTTATAGTTTCAAGAGCTCGTTCAACTTCTATCCTTCAGTATACACAATAGAAAATTCAAATAGAAGGAGCTAAATTATGTTGCTTAGCTCTCTTCGTTTTAGCATTGGTTGCTCTTCTTCTTGCTCATAGTAAATTGTATAAATATCAAAGATCTGGATTGAGAAACCGCATATGTTTTTTTACAGTTATCAGATTCTATGTCTTACAGATGCGGTGTTTCAAACTTAAAATGAGCCAAAATGTATCTTCTATTAGCAAAACGGTAATTAAGTGCTCAAAATTAATGGATAAAATTTTGTTTTTATTTTAATGTTTTACATGAACAGGAAACTTTTTCTGTATAAAATAATAATCTTATATCTATTAACTTATTTCAAATTTCTGAACTATGAGAATGAAATACAAAAGTAGACCGAGACAAATTCAATAAACAATTTTCTATATCCGATGCAAACAGCCTCAAAACATTAAAAAGAGTTGTATGCGACTG